GGCGGCTTTAGTGGCGCGAAGGGCGAGATCCGTAGCACTTCTCAAATCCGTGACGGCGGGGGGGGGTTTTCTACCGCCTTCGGCCCATTCACGGAGAATATCGCTCTGTAACACTTGGAGGACAGACATAGAGTGAAGCGCAGCGGCGGCCTGACCGGCGGCGGCGTAAGCGCGAGCATGAAAGCTCGAGGTCGCTCTGCAAGCCTTCGAAGGAAGCGTGGGTGAAGAACGCCATCTAGCGGAGGGCGGGCAGAGGTGTGTGGCGACCAAGTCCTCGACGGGCGGCATGGCTGCATAGCCTTTCTCGGCGGCTCCGTCCACCGAGCGCAGCGAGGCGGATACATCGGAGCGATTTCTAGCCGAGAGCGGTGCATTCCAGGATTTTGTCAGCTCTGCGTGAAGTTCAGGCAGGAATGGAGCGGCCCGGGTGCACGCGGGGGTCGAGCGCCGATGAAAAAAGCTACCGTCCATTCGGTTCGGGGCCTGCTCGGGTGGAGGAGACCACTCGAGACCGAGGCGTTCGACGGCCTGTGAGAGGAGGCGCATCAGCTCCTCTTCTATCCCGGCGCGGGTCCCCGTCGACTCTCTCGCGGATCCGAGAGATGACCAGTCTTCACTGTCAGAAGCGAGCAGTGAACAGGAGTCCTTCTCCTCCGCGGCGTCATCGGAAACAACAGAGCGGCCACTCGGCGGCAACTGAATGTCCGGCAGGGGCGGGGAGGGAGAGCGGGAAGCGGGAGGCGGCGGCGGCGGCCCGCATGTTTCCGCTGGGGGCTCCGGCGGCCTTTGAGAGCGGCGTTTCTTTTTACGCGGCGAGAGAATAGGCGGCGCGGGAGCGGTTTTCACTGCCAGAAGTCGTGCCCGCAGGGACGATAACGGCAGGCTTTCACAGAGGTCGCATCCTCCATCAGCGAGGGCGAGTTCTGCATGCTCGAGTCCCAAGCAGAGAGCGCAGATGACATGGCGGTCTCCGTCCTCGAGACGAGCGCGGCAAGAGCCGCAGGAAAAACGAGACATCTTTAAAAAGACGCTCGGCTCTTTTAGAAATAGAGAAAGGATACAATCGTCGGATGGCCTAGCTTGCTGGGCGGCTGAAGGTGGCGAAGACGGCCGGCTTCTTCAGGGTCCTTGAGCTCGCTAGAGGATGCCTTCTTCGACGGCGATGGCTTTTCTCAGGAACAGCAGAAGCGTGCAGCTTGCTGAAGATGAAATGAATCAACATATAAGCCTGGGAGAGCGCCTTATATACACCATGGCCACGCCCATTCTGGCGGGTCATGACGCAATGAGCGCGCGGGCGCCTCTCATTGGAAGCGGGTTCAGCCCCGCTCTCCCATAGGCTTAAGCAGTTCTCTCTGAGCGAACCAATGAGCTGCTAGCTGCGCTCTAGGTCTGCCGCAGAGGAACTGCGTTGTGTATGGATACAAAATTATGAAATAATTTTTTGGCTTCAATATCTCAGCAAAGATGAATCTTTCCCGCAGCGTAAGCTAGCTTACGCAATACGAGAGAACCTCTCGTAAGAGAACTCCCGACTCTCCCGATTGCCACTCCGCTACTGCTTATACCCGTGAAAGTGCACTGGAACGGCAGTCAAACCCGTGACTTCCCACCCGTGAACTCGTACTAGATCGATGTACTCCCAGTTACGAGTTCTGACGTCACATAGCCCGCAAAACCATACAAAACAACAATGGCAGCCCCTACGGATGCAGTGTTTCTGCAGGCGGTACACAGTGAGAATACACTTTAGGACAATATAACGTTGCAGTCAAATTAATAATAATAATGATAATAATACACACAAGATTATGTATTACAATGTCATGTGTCTGAAACAATAAGTATGTATATACACACACGATTATGTATTACAATGTTATGTGTCTGAAAAAATAAGTATGTATATTGCGCTCAGGTAGTTTGGCGTGACTGGCCTGGAATGCTACAAAGTCGTGAGTCGTGGTTTGAAGTCGGGATTTACGTGCTCAAAAACCTGCCTGGAACGCAGCATAACTTACAATAGCAAGATAAAGATCGTTGTAAGTCTTGCGCATCCGCTTGATGGCAACCTGCAAAAACACACACAAAAACAGTATTCAATAACAGTAACTTTGCACATAACATTTACGATTTGAGCATCTAAGTATTAAATCCAAATACAAAAAAAAATATATATATACAATTCAGCAAGATTGCTTTACCTTTTTGCCATCAAATTTCCGTGTTCCCTCGAACACTCTTCCGAATCCTCCGGATCCAATCATCTCTCCCACGTCATAGAGAGTCTCAAAGGACTCTGAAAAACAAACAGAAAAATATGAGATATATATATATGAGCTTGCTAGATCCTTTGTTTTATATTAAAAATATCAGTGCGGGTTGTGTCGAGAAAATAATTTTTGAAAACAAGTCTATCTTTAGTGGAAAACAAGACGATAATAATACTCAGGGTTTCTGCAGGTTTCACAAAGTCAAATTTAAGACTTTTTAAGACCTTTTTAAGAACATTATGTATTAAATTTAAGACCTATATGTCACGACATAAAATAAAAAAACGTACAAAGGAAACGCAGAGTCTCAAAATTACTTGCAAAGTAAATTAATTTATTCAAACTGAACAGTACTGAAGACAGCTTAGAATTTAGATGGATGCACAAAGCTGATTGGCTGTTGCATGTTGGTCTATTTTGTAGTCGTAATTAAAGTGAATTATATTTGGACTAGCGAAATAAGGAACTATAACACCACGCAATAAAAAAACAAAAACATTCCAAAGCTCTGCGGGAGGACGTAGGAAAATTAAGACCTGTTTAAAATTATTTAAGACCTAGAACACAATACTTCAGCAATTTTAAGACTTTTTAAGGCCTTAAATTGTGATTTTGAAATTTTAGACTTTTTTAGACTTTTTAAGACCCCGCGGAAACCCTGATACTGTTTAAAACACTGTTGGAGAAATAATGTCTGCAGATTTACCATTATTTGGCTTGATGGCGGAGTGATCGGGATCAGGTGATGAAGGATCAGGATCAGGATCAGGATCCAGATCCGCTGGAGGAACAAAAGGCTCCACATCATCCACAGCACAACAGCAGAGGAACGAACACACAGCCGTCCGTAGCCTGTTGAGGAAAGAACCAGTTCCTTTCCTCTTCTTACATTCTGTAGGTTTTTCGGAAATGAAGAAAAACAATTGAATTATTAGAAACATCTCTGACGTCAAATTAAGCAAAGATATAATGACATAACTTACATTTTACTGTTAAATTCAAATCCGTGTTAAATCATGATAAAAACTTGAGGCATGAAACAGCAACATCTCTATCTGTACACTTTACACTCTCCAGCCTTATTTCAGTCTCACCTGTCGAGCTCTTGTTCACCGGTGAAGCCTCCATAAGGACATTTGAAGTCTCCGTTGGCTCGATGGGAACTTGACCTGGCAGCGGAGGGCACATAAACTCTTCAAAGCTGTTGGTCCCGGACAAACTCCTGTTGCCGCAACTGCCCTGTTCATATTTGCTTTTCGATCTATCGCCACTCCGCTTCCACTGGACGATGTACGAGCCTTTGCTGCTGAAGCTCTTCAACCCACATAACCACCTCTTCACATTTCCCACAGAGGGGGACAGAGATGATGTGGACATGATGCCTGCCCGGTGAAGACTCTGGGGAAACATTTTTAATAATATTAATAATCAAATTGTGATTTATTTTGTTACCTTTCTATTTTCAATGATAAATTATGTATCAACTGAGCCATAACTTCTTCAATTAAAGCCAATTCTGACCTCCGCGAGAGCGTTTCGATGAAGTGGACGGACGTCCATCATCTGGGCTCTGCAACTCCCTCTTCCTGTCAGCCGGACCTGCCCTTACAGAAAAACCACATGAGTTTCACATGTGCAAAAACACATGTGATCCCATGTGACAACGTGGACATGTGATTTTGCACATGTGAAATTTAACATGTGAAATATGTGGAACACATGTGCTTTGCACATGTTAAAGGTAATTTGCACATGGGAAACGTGTGGTTTTGGAACATTTTCATGTGAAACCCATGTATATTCCCATGTGAAACCCATGGGATTGCATGTGAAACCCATGTGATTACATGTGAAATCCATGGGATTGCATGTGAAACCCATGTGATTACATGTGAAACCCATGGGATGTGAAACCCATGTTATTACATGTGAAACCCATGTGATTACATGTGAAACCCATGTGATTACATGTGAAACCCATGTGATTACATGTGACCCATGTGATTGCATGTGAAACCCATGTGATTACATGTGAAACCCATGTGATTACATGTGAAACCCATGGGATTGCATGTGAAACCCATGTGATTGCATGTGAAACCCATGTGATTACATGTGAAACCCATGTGATTACATGTGAAACCCATGGGATTGCATGTGAAACCCATGTGATTGCATGTGAAACCCATGTGATTACATGTGAAACCCATGGGATTGCATGTGAAACCCATGTGATTGCATGTGAAACCCATGTGATTACATGTGAAACCCATGTGATTACATGTGAAACCCATGTGATTACATGTGAAACCCAAAATCCCCATGTGAAATCCATGAGCTTACATGTGAAACGTAAAATTCCCATGTGAAACATTTAATCACATGTGAAACCCATGAGATATCATGTGAAATGTAAAATATCTCATGTGAAACCCATGGAATGACATTTGAAACCCATCAACAATCCATATTAAAGCTACACACCATGTAAACCTGTAACTTCATGTGAAATCCATGTAAAAATCATTAAGCAATATACCACAGAAAACGGTAGGCCTACCATGTTCTTGTGTAGGCTCTATAGCCTAATGTTTCCCAACATTAAAACAAATAATTCAAATTTTTTTTTTTTTTTCACTTTTTATTTCATTTCAAAATATGCAATACAAATTGAATGTTTAAAACAAACAAAGCAAAACCAAATTAAAATTATACATAAAAAGCCGCAAAAAACGCAGGTATACGCGCATGTGTGTGTGTGTGGTGTGCGTTTGTGAAAGTGTGTTGTCTCAGTCCTTTGTGTCTCCTGCAGCAGGCATCCTGTTTTGGGATAGAAAAAGATCAAAGATTAGGGCAGTGCAAACCATAGACTGTAAAAAAAAATATGGACGTAGTGTCCGTGACGTCACCCCGTAGGTTTCTGAAAAGCAATTTTATGGGGCTTAATAATTAATTATTATTCATTTGTAATGTTATTATGTCATTAAACGTTTTACGTAAATATGCTATGGAAATACATCTTGCTTAAACAACTGTATAAGACGAGTGGTGCGTCTCATTTATAAAAAAAACTATTGACAGTTTGTGAATAGATCACAATGTAGACTGAGGAATAAACTGAGTCATCAGTCCTCGCGCATGTCGGTTTCGCAAATGTGAACAGACCACATGGGGATCACACTTGGATGTTGGATCGTCTGAATATTACCTTTCTGCTCGTCTCCTCAGATCTTTTAACTTTTGTGCCATGCAGACCTTGATCTCAGTGCCTCCGATGCCTGGGTGCCTCTTTTTGACATGGTCTGTAAGAAATGAGATTGATTACATTAAAATTTGAAAACAAGTTTGACATGAAGTGACATAACTGTCAGATTCAAACTGTGCTTTCCGCGCTATGGCTGGCGCTGACGGACGCGCTCAGCGCTTGTCATATATAATAACTATTGATAAAAGATATTCAGACATGCTTACCAATTATTAGCTGCACCTTTTGTAGGTCAAGGCTCTTTTTTCACCAACAACCCCTTTTTTTCCGTTCATGCTGCCATCTCTTCGAAAGAGAAGATGGAGTCCATAAGAGTTCTGGTTAACTTTTTGTAACCCTTACATCTTTGAGCATGATCCAAAGCAACTGGGTTCATTAAGTCAGTCACAGACTTGTTCTGCAAAGCAAAAAATAAAATAAAAAATAGAACATTTTCGTCAGGACAGAAACCGTGATCTTTTCAACGTTATTGCGTATTAGGTGAGGTTTTCACTTTGGAGCTGTGAGTGTAAATTTTAGCATACAAGTATTTATTGTTCATGCTCGAGTCTTGTTACTCTTTTACCTTCATAGTTATTCCAGAGTTTAGGGGTAAAATGCGAGAAATCTCCTTTAGTGGACTTAGATATGCTGGGCACTACTCACTGATCTATATAAATGACTTGATTGCTCATGACGTCATGTAAATTGAAGTCACCATATTCTATTGAATTAATAGGAAATCATCTGACTTTAATGAGTAAACATGACCTAACGAGTCAGTGTTTTTTATATTTGAATACTATACATTCTTACCATGTAAACATCCAAAACATTTCTGATTATTATCAATGTTGAAAACAGTTGTGCTGATTAATGTGTTTGTGTAAACCATTGTAACAGTTTAAACCATTTTTTCCCCTCCAGGATTCATTGTTAAATAGACCACAAACATATGAAGGGTAGTTTACACTAATGTTCAAACATTTGGGGTCAATGATAGATTTAAAAATGAACAGAAAAAAAAGAAGAAATTCATATTTTTACTCAGCAAGGATGCATTAAATTGATCAAAAGAGAGAGTAAGGATTTCTGTTTCAAATAAATGCTGTTATTTTAACCTTTCTATTCATCAAATAATCCTGAAAAACACAAAAATATGAAGCAGCACAACTGTTTTCAACACTGATAATAATCATAAATGTTTTTTTGAGCATCAAATCGTCATATTAGAATAATTTATGAAGGATGATGTGAAGCTGTGATGCTGAAAATTCAGCTTTGATCACAGGAAGTAATTGCATTTTACAATATATTCACATAGAAAACAGTTTTTATTTATTTATATTATTTCACAATATTATTGTTTTTAATGTTTTTTGGTGAACATAAGAGAAAGAGACATAAACATTTGTACCAAGACAATTAGTGTATGTTTGACATTAGTGTATGTTTGGCGTTTTACTTACTAATCATATGGTTCATCAATAGTGCTTTAGAGATGAAGATCAGCTCCACTCCGCTATGTTGCAGGGCATCAGCACTGAAGGATCTAAGAACACAACAAGCCATTTGTCACTGAGCCAACAATGCAATGCCAGGTTTATTGAAAGGAAAGAAGCTACAGCAGAGGTGAAATGCAGAAAAGAGAAAGAATTTAAAGAATATACAGAATATAATTTCTTAACTAGGATAACAGAATTTGTTTTGGGGTTTACTTATTCATTTAATTTTGCTCATACGGTGTAACTTCGTTTGGATGTCAAAACCTTCTTAAAATAAACAATTTAAAAAAACAAATTGAGAAATAAAATGAGGTTATTTAATGAGCTTCCTCGGCTCACCTGTGTCCTAACGTTACTTCTCCGGCAGCAGCTTTCTCCAGAAATGTTGAAGTCGTGGAGCTTTCTCTCTGTTATGGGTTATTTTGTTACTACTGAAATCACAGAACATTTTTTAATCAAAATGTGTTTAACGTTACCATTGAGCTAACGTTAGTTTCAGCCAATTTTCTTGCTCCTGAAAGTAACATCACCGATACGTTATGTTTACGTTTGTGTTAAATAAATTAGCTCACTTCCAAGTGCTAAAACCTTTACAAAACCTCTCATCTACACATAAGAGGTGATTAAAAGCCCAAACTTTAATAAATAAAAGTTCAACCGAGTTAACATTACGTTAGCCTAGCTAGCTGCTACCTCTTCTGAAAACGGTTGAGATCCTAACGGACTTTTTCCGAAGACACTGACTACACCATGTAAATTTTTAACAGAATCGTGTCAATTACAAGTAAGAGAAATGTCAAAAACAGTTGTGAGTATTATTCGTGTGATTTTAGAGACTAATCTCACCTGGGAAAAGCCGTGAAAAGTTTAAACAACATCGAGAGAGGGAGTTTTGTTGCTTACCAGTAGCAGTGGTCCCGCGCCGTTTCCATGGCAACTCTGCGCGTCGGCCGCTCAAGTGTTTGAAATACTCGAAAGTTCACGCGCACGGCATTGATTAAACCACGTCAAAATCATGCAGCACTTAAAATGAAAAGTTTAATATCCACTTTATTTTATTTGAAAACGTGCTTGCAGTAGCCTATTGATTATATCAAATATAATATACTGTTGATTATGTAAAATATATTTATAATATAGCTTTAGAAATGGTAAACAGTGTTGAAATAAAAGTATTGCAAAAACTCATTAAAAACTATACGTGTATATAAGTGTTAGTATATACACATGCATTATAAGCTTTATGTTCTATGCATTTTGTGTGAAAAAGGCTATTGAAGCTAAAAATGTACAGTATTTGTGACGTGGTAACATAATTCACATGTTAAAACCTATTACAACGTGCAAATATATTTCACATGAGCTCCACATTATTACCTATAACATGTTTTCCACATGTGCCACGTGTTCCATTAAGTTCACATGTGGTGACATGTTGTTCACATGTGGTCGAACATTACTGCATGTGGTGACATGTTGTTCACATGTGGTGAAACATTGTTCACATGTGATGACATGTTGTTCATATGTGGTCACATGTGGGCATATGTGGTCACATGTGGTCACATGTGGGCACATGTGGAAAACATGTGATAACATGTGAAATTCATGTGTTTTTTCTGTAAGGGTGTGGACACAGAAACGGAAAACTCAGAAGACTGAGGGGTGAAATATCCTGGAAGCTCCTGGATCAGTGTCTGGGTCGGGTCTGGCAGCGGATCCTGATCACGACGATCATCAGAACCGGGTCTCCAAACCTCCTGACCAGCCGCCTGGGAGAAAGCAGCTCTACTGGAGCTGGAGCGGCCTGAGCCTGGAATATTTCAGACATCACATAGTTAGAAATGTTTTAATAATAATCAATAATGTCAGTGGTCAACTACAAATTGTTACTATGCAAGGAATCAAATGCATGTGATAACTTAGCTGGTAAAATTGGGGGATCAAATGGGTTACCTTCACATTAATTTAGTCAATCCTTGTACAACATCATAGGCTACCATAAACAACTGAAAAACTAAAGCACTCACCTCCTCTTTAACCCATGTGAGCCTGAGACATCTTCCTGCTGCAACCTGCAATAAAAACAATACAAAAATACAATACAAAATACAATACAATAAAATACTACTCTTCTCCCCGCAAAAATAAAATAAAAAATTAAATACAACTCCAAACACCTAAGAAAATAACAACAAATACAAGTATCATCGGAATTAATAATAAAAACTTTCAAAATTATATGGATAAAAATATAAAGGATATATCCTCCGATGTCCTTAGCACTACCTCTCTCTAGCACTACCTCTCTCGGTTGCCTAGGTAACTACATATCACTCCGCCGCTGCTGTAGACTGTGCTAATAAATACAGGGCAACTCAGTGTTGCGGCAGACTCCTAAACTTGTTATTGGAGGTGTTAATATTTTGGATATGAAGTGTAATAATTCTTACATCAGAAAGTGTCTTAAAGGACAACTCCGGTGCAAAATGAACCTCGGGTGTAATAACACATTGGTACAGACTAAATCGTTCCCTGAGATTTGTTTTCATGATAATCGAATGTAAAGAGTTTTATCTCTAAAAACAGTTTAGCTTATAACGCTAGTATATTGGGCATCGAGTAAGCAAAAAGAGATCGCTAGTTAATACCATTAACAAGGCTCAAATTAGCCCCACACTAACACGGCAGCATAATGAGTGTCCCTACATGCAAACAGAAGCATTGAGAACTTTGTAAGTGTATAGACAGTTTAATAAGAAGATACTTTACACAGACAGTACAGTTAGCGCATACAGACAGGAGCCATCTTGGAAAACAGTCTCGATTAGTCAAACCACGAACACGGTGATACGTGAGCTGAACTGTGACTTGGAATCTCATATGGTCCGTTGTTTCCGGAAGAAAGCACTGAGCGCATAAGAGAAGCACTGAACGCAACAGAGAAAATAAAAAAATAAATATAATTTATCTTATCTTCAATATCTACACGTACTGTTCGCTCACCTTCGTGGTTCTATTGATCGAGACTGTTTTCCAAGATGGCTGCTGTCTGTATGCGCTAACTGTACTGTCTGTGTAAAGTATCTTCTTATTAAACTGTCTATACACTTACAAAGTTCTCAATGCTTCGGTTTGCATGTAAGGACACTCATTATGCTGCCGTGTTAGTGTGGGGCTAATTTGAGCCTTGTTAATGGTATTAACTAGCGATCTCTTTTTGCTTACTCGATGCCCAATATACTAGCGTTATAAGCTAAACTGTTTTTAGAGATAAAACTCTTTATATTATAGAAATAAGAAGTGCATAAAAACATCTCATATTTTGAAAAAAATAGTTTGCAGAATTTAATGTTTACTCTGTACAATGTAAGATCTGTTATATGTTTCCCCAATATCTGTTTGTCCTTTGTTTGATGTTAAATGTCATTGTAAGCCTTAATGAAAGTTGAATAAAAAAAATAAAAATAAATACCGGGAACAAAGGATAACTATTGCAATGCGATGAAAGGGTAGTTTGATTTCTAACATTATTCTCTCAACAGACATTGGCATCGATAGTCTGGCGTTATTTATTTGCTTTTGGTGTACTGTGGAGTGGGTAAAACTGTTTTTAATGGCAGGCTAGCAGTTACCGTTGATTCGCGCTAGCCTAGCACCGGCGAACTATGCAACTGGAACGACTGGATGAAATTTTTTGAAAACTGTCTCCACTGATAATAACACTAAGGCTAACTTGGAAATGAGGCCCGATGTCCACAATTCTGAACCACCCCTTTAAAGTCAGTAATATTTTTTTCGAACATGTTGTCAGTTTGTGGCACATGTATTTGAGTAGCATGTGCCACTGAATGTTTTGTAATACCAGTGCTATTGTATGTTGATTATCACGCAAAGTCGCAAACTGCCCATTCCAGGAAAGACACTAAATAAATCTTGGGTCGCTATGAATAACGCATTAACAGTCGCATCCGTTACTGTGTAAACCTTTAATTTGGCGTGATGCTGCACGGACGCATGCTGGCAGGATGCTTTACCTCTTTAAGCACAACTACGTAAAATGCTTATAAAAACTTCAACATTTTTTTTATTCATAATATTTGAATAGAGGGTGAAGATGTCTATTTACCTTTCAGCCACTACTGTATATATTAAATAATAAACCACAATGCAGGTCTATTAATAAATGATCTTTATTGGTGATAAATTATATCATTTGAAGAGCTTTTGGTCTGGATCGGGCTGGACAAAAAGAAATTCTTCCACTGGAACTGTTGATCCAGATTTCCAACAACTATTTCTGCAAGTGTACACCAGAACTGTCCCGAACTCCAATGGAGTGTCTGAGAAGACAAAAACAAATCACATCTCACACTACATACACTAACAAGTAACAAGTAAGATGTAAGGATGATGATCAGTCTTGCAGCATTCCTATTTTTCATATATATTTTAAAAACATTTGACTTACCTGAATTTGTGCCTGCACTACTGAGCAAACTGACCAATGCAGGCATGAGCTGAAATTCGAAAACCCTCGGGCTGCCGCAGTGACCACAGAACGGCACCATCTCATTAACGTTGACAGGCGGCTCTGTTATAAATAGAGGTGATCCGGCCCAACTGTACCTATAAGGTGAGATGTAACACGTTTGATTAAAACATGAGTAAATAATAAAAATATTGGGTGTATAATACAATGAATTATCACATTTTGTTATGCAGAAAACACTGGATGCAGTTTTTGCGATCCACTGGGTTTTCTATGGTTTCTCTATGTAAACATGCGCTACGTGGACGTTTTTGACCGTTGAACTCACGTCTGCCGTTTTTCGCAAACGTCTCGCAGGTTTGCATAACAAAACCAGCTGCTATTCAAAACTCACCCAATCAAGACCAAAACTAGCCCAATCTTGTTCCTGGGGGTCCCAGGGGTTGGGGACTTTAACCCACAACCCGAGGCAACAATGTAACAGTTTCGTTTATTTTAAGTCGAAGTACTAAAATAGCCTAAACTGAAATGAAAATTTGAAAAACTATCGTTTTTCTTTAAAGAAAAAAAAAAAAAGAAAGAAAACAAAATGACTGAAACTTTAACAAACATTTGTATAAATGGCCCCTTACAATGCTCCAGGGCTCCAGATTAAAAAATTAAGAAACACTTATGGACACACAAAGCTTTCCTGAATGCGAATTTTAAATGATTGTAGCACATTTGTAGTTATTTTTGCCATTTTTGCAACCATTTTAGTCACAGTTTGGGGCGTTTTTAAAAAAAACTGAATATCAATACTAAAATAT